AATTGTAATGTCATCGCAGTACTGTCTAATTTTGCTTGCTTCGCTGTCAGTCGAACAAACGAAGACTAGAGCGTGAATGACGCTCTGTATACGATTTTAACGCCCTATAAGTTCGGACACTTTTTAGCGCGGACCCGACGTCCATATAATTGTAAGTCAATGATACCAAGTGACGGGAAAAACAAGTCTGCGCCTGGTGGTAAGTGACACGCCTGTCCATAGTAGTTACAGCGTCACTCAAAACTTTGAATCGCAAAGATGCAGGACCTTGCCATTGCGCCTGTCACCATCAGACATAAGTTGACAAATCTCGGGTGCCTGTTATTTCTACAGGACCCCGACCCTTCGAAACCGGAACGGTGTAATGATCACATTACGAACAAACAGAAAACACCTTTAGTAAATCTGATAAACTAATAACACGGACATTGGCATCAACTCTTTTTTTTTAAACGCACACACTCAACTCAGCCCCGCACTAGAGAAACCCTGTGTCGCAGGTGCCATGGACACATATATAGATAACCACGAATTACACCCAAACTCACGAGGGAAATAAACGTTGGCCATACAAATATGTCGGCCCGAGAATCGAACCTGGGACCTTTGCGTGGCAGTCTGGCATGGTAACCGTTCGGCCACGGAGGCAGTTTCTATTCTAACTATTCGACAATTACTTGACATTATACCTCTTTAATATAATTGGACTCATCCGAAGAACAAAGTCCGATGTGATTATATAGCGAAAGGAGAATAAGTACGTAACGAGAATAATTTCGTTATTCAAACTATGGCTTACGTAAAGGTGTTTTGAAAATTTATATCTCTTATTTCGTTTCGGAAATATAAAATCGAATAACGGCCAATCTGACATCCACAGCGAAGAAAAACGAAACTGAGAACAAGTAGTCTTGCACATAGATCTTTGTTCTACGTAAATATAATATTAGCTTCTAGTTGCCGGTTGCTTGTATCCGACACAAGACACACGTTTGCGAGGCGCCAGGTATTTTTTTATTGCAGCTGTGAAAATGCGCGAAGAAAATTATAATGCCAAATATATTGGAATGAAATTGGTCAACAATGCAATTAATAACTTCCATAAAAATCGAATAGCCCCGAAGCTACTACTTAGAAAATAATACTGTGTTATTTTACTAACTCGGTCATCGGCACAAAACGCCCATTACAATCGAAGCTATTAATTAAGTCAATGTCTTCTTGGCACAATTTAAAATCGAACACATTGAAGTTACTCAAAATGCGTCCTTTGTTCACCGATTTAGGGATCACTATGTTGCCGCTGTCGATGTGGTAGCTGGGAAACAAAAATTATTACTAATTTTTTGAAAACCACACCTATTCTCTTGAGATTTTTTTAACTTTTATTAATACAAAGATGGAAGGATTTTTTTCTGAGTGTTCGATCTTTGTATTAATAATTATAACAAACTAGTGGAGTAATTTCACATAAAAAATAATTGAATATCAATTCAATAAATATTTCAATACAGTGAATAGCGACATCTCTAACAGAGTGACGAAATACTTTCATATATTTCTCATAGATGGCGCTACGGCTAAAAAGTCGTTGAAAAACCAAATACAAAGGCACGACAATAAGCACATAGAAAAATTCGTGAGGTCCGCTGGTTCATTCCGTGGCTTATTTGGTATAGCGTCTGTTACGGTATGCTAGAAGACGTCGGTTCGAATCCGGCCGGATCGAAGGAATTTTTTCTGAGTGTTCGATTTTTATATTAATAATTATAACAAACTAGTAGAGTAATTTCACATAAAAAATAACTGAACATCAATTCAATAAAAGTTTAAATATACACTACATTTAAGGATATTGTCTATAGAATGTGCTAATTCATTACACGATAGGATGTACTTTATTCGATCATATAAAATGCTGACAACAGACTAAGATAAAAGTCCAAAACGAATTATATTAGAATAAAATACTTAATCTAATATGGATATATTTCTCTTCAAGTACTACAGAGAACCTGCAAAATTTTAGTTTTTAACTGAAGCCCTATTAGTTAATAAATTCACATTTATGTAAAAATTTACAAATTGCCCAGCGGGTTAACGACACGTCGCTCCGCCTGCTGCCCCGTCAGTCGCCATCGGGCGTTTGTCTCCGTCTGTTTTTATTTTAATAAAAATGAAGTAAATGAATTTGCTACCCGCGAACCCAGTGAAGGTTAAATCGTGAAAAATGGCTGCGCTTGTGTTGAATATTTTTTCATACAGTTAATTTTTCCACCCTCCAATTAATAAAATAAATAACACAAGCGCAACTACAGTTACAGACACCACCGCCACAAATATACCCGACACGCGTTAGCAAGTGACGCGAGGGGCGATTCCCCACACCTCAACTAAAATCTAGGCCCGCGTTGAAACACCTCTCCTTAAATAGAGACGCACAGTAGAATGGTCACTATTGTCCTGTGCCGTAGTGCTTATATTGATTCAATAGAAAAGTTCAATGTAGATCTTTAAATTTTAATAGAACGTTGTCGATGCTTCTCTATGGAGGAGAAGCAGTAGACGGCAACTATACTGAAAGCCCTACAAGTCTGACTGTAAACCCCATAGTTGGTTTTCTGAGACCCATATATAAACGGGTTACCCCGTATCATCGAATATATGTATAACCAGAAATAGAGACGAAATGTCATTTAATTTGTTTGAAAACTGTTTTGCCAAATCATTAGGATGACAACTGCGTTCCTATTGGCCAGCCCGAATTCGAAACAACTGACGGGTGTTGTCAATAACGGACGAAAATTGAAAAATTACATATTTAATTACCTATGAAATGTGATTCCGTTTGTTTTGTAATTAGATGTTTTGCTGTTTTTCCCACACCACCGAATGGAACAGCCCCCCCATAGTTAGAGATATTATTATTATTACAATAAATACAGTATATTTTTGGAATATACGGAGACGTATACACAGGTCAGTTGTTGGCGTTGTAAATTTGTGATTTCAGTGCAAACGAGAGTTGATATTTAAAAGTGATATAAGGCCCATTTGTCTGATGAGTTGCCACGGATGGATGGCCGTTAATTTGTCTCCTATTTCTGGTTATACTCGATGCCCCGTATTATCATATTCTGATATTTAATTTTACGGTTTACGGCTTTTTATACTCTTTGTACACAGTAAAATATTCTTTACTCTCATTTTTATACATATAATATTTAATCGATAACACACCCGTTTTTATATGCTATCTCTTGTCAACATACTATACAGGTAGTATGTTCTTTTGGTGTTCCTACTATGAATAAATAAATAGATTATAAAATTATGTTTCTTCTAATATCTCCTTGTTTTTATTTCCGTTGATTTGTTTACTCGAACGTTTGTACGGCCCATCATGAGTTGAAAGTACACAAATTATTCTTCAACAAGGTTTTTATTTTATTTATAATACAGGCAAATAAATATAAGAACAATACAAATACAGGTTTATTAACTTATTCGACAAAATAAAACATTTCTAGTAACATAGATGAAGATACCACACGGTTTAAAATTCATCGTTTTCAAATGGATGGTACTTGTGGCCCGAAGATCTGGAAAACAGAAAACAAATTTTGTAAAATTGTAATAATAAATTTCCCTAGATCAACCAATAATGTATTACGGAAGTTGACCATTGCATTGTTGACCAATTTCATACCAATTAGTTGACATTGTAATTTTCTTTTATTATGACACAAATTGACGGGACTAACAAATCGTGCACCTGGTGGTAAGTGACATGTCTGTCCATAACAATGCAGCAGAGCTTTCAATCGCAAAGATCTGAAGCACACTGCCATTGCGCCCGTCACAATACCCAAACATAAGTTGACAAGTGCCTGCAATTTCACCAGAACCTTTCAAAACGCGGTAAGTTCCGCTGTTTTCTCGCTAATTTGTCCTACTAGTGGAACCACGGGAGAGACTTGTTTCTTGTGGTTCCAATGCTTTCTATAAAAAAAATCCACTGACAAGAGCAGTCTGATCATCAATCTGACCAATGGACAACACCGCACTCAATTGGTCATCTTCAAATCCATTTTCTGGTTCAAATAATTTTTTCTCTGGCTTTGTTTTTTTTCCCTTCCATGATTTTGTGCTTCATCCATTAACATATGTGCTACAACTCATATACGTCGCAGCAGCAGATGAATTGTCATCATCTTGATTGTGTATATCATATCTACCACGGAACTACTGCCTGTTGGGAGCGTAGACTGTAGTTGCTGATAAATTTAAACAAACTGTTTTGTACTGCTTTAAATTGTTTAATATTGTACAGAGCACACACGTACATGACACGATACACGGAGTCGAAGAAGTGGTCGGGTTACCATATTTTACATAACAATTTATGACAATTTTTGTATTGCCAACATGCTGCCGTCTCAGCTTGAAACAATATTGCTTGTAAATAGTGATTCAAAGTACTTATAATAATAAGTTACATAATAAACTAATTATTATATAAAACTGTATGTGTACATCTTCGTAATAATGTTAGGAGTACCTTACCTATTTCTGCCGCCAAGTGGTAATGTGACCATTACTGTATTCCGGTCTTGAAGGGTAAGGAGTGAAATTACAGGCACGTGGGACTTGTCAACTTATGTCTCTGTGGGTACTGCCACGCACAGGTCCCAGGTTCGATTCCCGGGCCGGGAGAAATATTTGTATGACCTACATTTATTTATCTCGTGAGATTGGGTGTAATTTGTGGTTGTCTATGTGTGTATCCATGGCACCCGCGACACAGGGTTTCCCTAGTGCGGGGCTATGTTGAGTGTGTGTGTTATTATTATTATTAATATGGCAGTACTTCTCTGGACGAACTCTTTCTCAAGGAGCCCTACTGCGACTAAAGTAATTATAATGACAAAGCGACAAAATTATAACGTTAAATAATGAGTCTGATTAAAAAGATACAATCGTCAAATTCCGTAAAACACGTATGGAAAATAGTTAGTGTAATTATACTCACGAAGTCATCGGCACGAGACGTCCATTACAATCGAAGCTATTAATCAAGTCGAGGTCTTCTTGGCTCAGTTTAAAATCGAACACGTCGAAATTACTCGAAATGCGTCCTTTGTTCACGGACTTAGGGATCACTATGTTACCGCGGTCGATTTGGTAGCTGGTAAAAAAAAATGGTATAAAATAGAAAAATATTTAATCAATTTTATTCTACTACTATGCTATAATTACTGTTTTATATTACTTCCTTTTTTTATTATTTAATTAAAATTGGTTTGGCCCAAAAGACCATGCGGCTTTTGCCACTAGCTACCTTTAAACAAAGAAGAACTTTTAAAAAATTGTCTATGATAATTTAAAAAGTAATATCTTGGCGCGCATTTTTAGAAGCCGGAAAGATTTTTACGTTTACAATTTTAAGGAGCTTCGGAACAAAAACCGATTATTATAAAAAAAAAGCAATCTCTATGCAATTAGCGAATACTCAAGAATACATACTCAAAATACATTAAACAATATCGCTAATACAAATCAATAGGATTTAAAAACTACGCATAAATACCATTTTGGGTGTCAATTCATTCAAATTCATTTTTGTACATACTTTAAAATGTAGATGGCGACTCTTGTATCATTGAATCTCGAAATTTTGAGGTTGGTTATAAATAAGAAATATTAAAAAGAATTGCAAAACTGTTAAACTAAAATTCATTTACAAATATGATAATTGGTGACAACAGCTGTCGTTGAAAAGATAACAAATCTAAAGTTTTTCAATGAAATTAAATCATTTAGATCGGTTAGTTTGCAATAAATTGTATAGATGGCGTTAAGCACTGACTTTTGCTTTAAAATATTGAAAGTACAGACTCGGGTTCTTTGCGATTTTATTATATTAGTTATTAAATTAAATATTTAATAAATATTTATTAGATAAATATGTATTAAATTAAATATTTATTAATAAAATTGTTTAATTTGTTTGTTAAAAATGTTTTATTTTATTAGTTGTGTTATTGTATTTATAATCAACCATAAACGTATTTTTTTAAATGAATTGTTATTTATGTAATTATTGTTTTATCATTCAATAATATTTATGTATTAGCCGTTCTTTTATAGTCTAACCATTTATTTTACTTTTAACAGCTCGACTACTGGTCAATTAGTGATGTCCTAATGCGTTACTGATTCGATTTCTTATAACAATCGACTTTATTTATGAAGAAGTAATTTATTTATAAAGAAGTTTAGGGTAATTTTCGGGTAAGTTTTTTGTACTCAATTTTGGTGACTGATATATTCGAGTAATTAAATAATAAAAATTGTCACCAAAATTGAGTACAAAAAGCTTTCCTGAAAATGACTGTTTAATTGTAGTTTTAATTCGTTCAAAAACAATTAATTCGTTGAAAAAGTAAAAAAAAGATTTAATCGATTTAACAATTTGACATTTTCCACATTATATTAGGTATAAGAAATGAGATAACGTGCGACTTCGACGGAACAGTAAACCATTAGAATTTATTATAATTATTTCAAGTTTATTTATTTTCATTATAATTAATTAGACAGGTATCAAAACCTATATAAAAAAGAAATCAACTTGCATAATCTTCGTTACATAATCTGTCTGCTTTATAAATATCGGAATCGGAGCTAAAGAGCCCGTGTCGTTTTACTATGTAAAGAAGAAACAGATTCCATGAAGTATTTAATTTTTTTGTCTATATTTGCCTATCAATAATTAAGGAACTTCATAGGCACGTTCAAAGTGTAATAAATGGTTAGACGGAGTAAAGTTTAAAAAAAAATACAGAAGTCAATAGAAAGTTCCAAGGTATGTATGGTATGAGTTTCTTACCGAATGAGGACCTGAGCGACGGTCTTCCCCAATCTATCAGCAATAGCTTTCAACTTTGGGTCATCCATGAGCTGAGGGTCTCCGGGTTTGGCCCAGGGTCTGTCAGGGGAGCCAAGCGGAGAGTACGCGGTGATAGTCACGCCACGTGCTTCGCAGAACTCTTTCAAACGCTGCTGATTCAGATACGGGTGACATTCAACCTGGAAAGAAATATTATTGACGAAGGCGGTAAGTATAGTCCTATATACTAGTTGCATTAGAGCTCTGCCGCCATGCAGTAATAACAGCATTATTGCGTTCCAGTTTTGAAGGGTAAGGGTGCTGGTGAAATTACGGGCAGATGGAACTTGTCAACTTATGTCTCAGGGTGACGGACGCACGTCGTGGTGAATGCTCCACTGATCCCACGGCGACTCAAGCGGCGAGAGGTAAACCCGGGGGGATTTTAGTGGGGTAGGCCCTCCAGTCTGGAGGGAGAGTCCCAACATAATATAAGACACATATATATATATATATATTTGTCACGAATTGGTTCACGGGTTTCAATAGCACGGGATTGACAGAAGACGATGTTACGTTGTTTAATAGAAGCGTCATACAAGAGTTGCCGCCGGTGATAGATTGGTCTGATGATATTTTGCTGGACTATTTTCAAGATACTAAGTGTAAAAATAGCTATGTATTGAGTGCATTAAGTAAGTTAATTTCTTAATTTTGTGTTACAGAGAGTTTACAAATACAAATCCTCATGACATAAATTGACAAATCATATATATATATATATATATATATATAACACGTGGTTGCTATTGATAACAGTGACTGTAAACTGTGTAAATGTTGACATACGTACAAATAATCGATTAAATTCAAATATAGAATGTTACTTTGTAACCTTGACCTTGTATATATATATAGGAATGGGCGTTACAAATCGTATTATATTATTGAATCTATATGTTGTGGCAATATCGAATATCCGATATCGTGTATCTTAAAAACTATATACCGATATTGTTTCGTATCGGATATTCACTGAGTGGATATCAACGCGAAACCATTTTTTGTGCGTCTTCGAAACTGTATACTAACATTGGCACTTGTAGAACTATATCCAATAATATATAGTTTCGAAATCTGATTCCGCATATGAGTAACGGCAATATATCAACACAGCGCGCACGCGGGCTGTATCCATGAATGTATAGTTTCAGAAAATATATAGTTTCAAAATCCGATTTCGAATATTGATATATAATTTGATATGATATTCAGAAAAAGCTATATTACCCATTCCTAATACTAACAATTATGGTAAATTTTTAATCGCAGCAGCGTAATAATAATGTCAGTATGCCTTAAAACACCTAAGCCTACGCCGAAGGACGAAAAATCTGTAGTGTGCGAGCATGTCATGGATAAACCTACTCAATGAAGTTTGACAAACCCCAGGTCCTTGCAAAAGAAGTACGTTATTTACCCAGGATGTTGCGAGAGGCCATTGAAATTAAAAGGTATCATAATCATAGGGAAAATGGTTTCTCCTTACCACTAGTTTGAGATCCAGTATTTCCTCTGATGAAAAATCTCAAACAGACATAAGACTGCAGTACTAATTAATATTTCTAATTTATTCTAATTTCCATTAATTAATAATAAATTTAACTTAATAAAAAATGTAGCGTAAATTGGAATGTTTTCTTTGTAAAATTAAAAATAAGATTTTTAATTAATAACTCTTGTAAGTATAGTGAAAAAATAGGGTGGTTTGCATTAATATTAGACATCTGGTTGAAGACTGTACCACCTCAGACAACCGTGACCATGGGACCTGTAAAGGGCCCGAAACGTTGGTTTGTTTGAAAAAACAAATATACGTCATGTCTTTGTACTTGGTTTTTCAACGACTTTTTAGTCGTAGCGCCATCTATAACAAATCTATGACAGATTTATCACCCAGTTAGTACCTTTACAGCTACCAGTCCTGGCGAGAGATGTCGCTATTCACTGTATTAATTAAATTTTTTTTTATTGAATTGATATTCAATTATTTTTTGTGAAATTACTCCACTAGTTTGTTATAATTATTAATAAATTGGGTGATAAATCTGTCATAGATTTCTCATAAATGGCGCTACGACTAAAAAGTCGTTGAAAGACCAAGTACAAAGAGACGACGCAAGCACATAGAAAAATTCGTGAGGTCCGTTGGTTCGTAAATATACGTGATTTAAATCCGGAAAAATAGTTTCATTTTCTAAACAGTCTATATTTTATTAGATTCGCTTAAAGTATTCTTCAAGTCCCCTCACTATATTAATTAGAATTTATAAGCACACACCAAATTAAACTTTAAAAAAAGCAGTAGAACTCCTTGTTCCTTGGAGGGAAGTTCTGCTACCTTACCTATTTCTGCCGCCAAGTACTAATATGAGCATTACTATGTTTCAGTTTTGAAGGGTAAGGGTGCTGGTGAAATTACAAGCACATGGGACTTGTCAACTTATACCTCGAGGTGACAGGAGTAGTGGTAGTGCCCCTCAGATCGTTGCGATTTAAAGCTCTGAGTGGCACTATAACTGTTATGGACAGGCGTGTCGCTTACCACCAGTCGCGCGAATTGTTCGTCCCATCACTTGGTTACAAGAAAAAGAAAATTATAATGTCAACTAATTGGTATGAAATTGGTCAACAATGCAATGGTCAACTTCAGTTTTAACAATTTTAACAAAAAATCCTTAATTGCCCAAAAACCACCGTGGCATTTGATTCGGTTGCTTATTATTTTAATATTATTTCATCTTATTTTAATTATGGTTTTTATTTTGTGATTTAGATTTTAATATTTAATTTTGATTTAGATTTATACTTTTAATATTTTTTTTACGTTAATTTTATTTTTTATTTTGAAGTTTCTAAAGTGATTAACTAACTTTATAATTTAAGAATATGGATCATAGACATTTGAAATAAATGATTTTTATTTTTATTTTAATAACTTACCTGATTAGTAACAGGTTTAATCCTCGCAATCTCCAGCACTCTGGTCAGCTGTTTCGAGTTGAAATTCGAAACGCCAATACTCTTAGTTAGTCCTTCGTCAACCAGAGGCTCTAGCGCCTTCCATGTATCCACATAGTCCACATCAGAGAACTGGACCTTTCCGTCAGCGTCTGATGGGAAGTTGTCGCCCCCTTCCTGTTAATCAATATACATAAAAAATAGTTCTTTACGGTTCTGTATTTTGAGTATTTTTAGGTCTCCAAATTAGGCGCTTATAAAAACGGTTCAGCAGTACATCAAGTTTATACCATTTGAATAATTATTAATATATAGACCGAACTCTAAGAAAATTCTGGCTGGTTTCGAACCAACGTCTTCTAGCAAACCGTGCCAGATGCTATGCCAACTAAGCCACGGAGAAAGAGCTTGAAGCAGCAGTAGAGCTCCTTGTAAAAGAGTTCGCCCAGAGAAGTACTGCCACCTTACCTATTTCTGCCGCCAAGCGGTAATGTTAACTTCAAGCTCTAAAAAAATCTCCTAACAAATTATAAGAGGTAAGATTTTGTTTTCTTGGTACCTTGTATGCTTGCGGCCAGTGAATAAGATACAAGTCAAGATATTGAAGGTTGAGATTTTCCAGTGACTTCTGCAGAGCACACTTCACCAGGTCAGGGCGGTGAAAGGTATTCCAGAGCTTCGAGGTGATGAACAGGTCCTTCCTGGGAAAAATAGTTAGAGCCTAACGTCGAGTATATAACCTATAGACTTATATAATTTAATTTGTTTGTCCGCCAAATCATTACGGTGACAACTGCGCTCCGATTAGCCGGCCCGAATTCGAAACGATTGACGGGTGTCGTCAATTGTTTCACTTCAAATCTACCAGTTTAACTTGAGCTTTGCTATAATGGGCGAAGATTGAAAAATTACATATTTAATTACCGATGAAATATAAATACGTTTGTTTTATAATTAGATGTTTAGCTGTTTTTCCCACACCCCCGAATGGAACAGACCACAGTTGTTAGAGATATTGTAAAATTAATTTAAAAAAAAAGGTCTATTTTTTGTAACACTGATAGACTCAGTTTCTTATAATAATGATTTTATTGTATTGGAAGAAAATAATCGAGACAGCAGAAGTTGGTCAAATTTAACAAAATGTTTTTTAATTTTGTATAAAAAAAAAACTTTTCATTAAATTTGACCAACTTGGGCTGTCCCGATTTTTTCGTCCGATACAATGAAATGATCCCTTCAAGAAACTAAATCGATTAGCACTAAACAAATTTTTAATTAACTGTATTCATTTTTATGGACAACTCACGATTGATAAAAAAATAACGGTTCCTAAACAGTTTCCTTGTATCTTTCATGGTTTCGGATTCCCCATACTGTCCCATTTAAAAAACACCGTATATATTGCTGCTTTGTAAGCAGTTAGGTTTACATGATTGAAGGACACGTCTTTTCCCTTCGGGAATTTTGCGAGGAATTTAATAGCAGTAGAGCTCCCTGTGAAAGAGTTCACCCAGGGAAGTACTGCTACCTTACCTATTTCTGCCGCCATGCAGTAATGTGAGTTGGTGAAATTTCAGGCACATAAGACTTGTCAACTTATGTCTCAGGATGACGGCCGCAGTGGCAATGGCCCCTCCGATGTTAGCGGATTAAAACTCTGAGTGATACTGCAGCTGATCAGGTGTGTCGCTTACAACCAAGCACACAACTTGTTGGTCCCGTCACTTAGTATTATTAAAAAAAAGAAAGACGAAGAAAAATAATTAGGGAACGATTCAACATTTCAAAAGCGGCGGTATCGGAAGTAAATTAATTAGCTACTCCGCGAACCCAGTGAAGGTTAAATCGTGCAAAATAGCTGCGCTTATGGTGAATATTTTTTCACGCAGTTAATTACTGGCTCTTTGAGATGCGATACGGAGTACCCCGTACTGTCATATACTGATATTTAATTAGTAAACGCCGTTACTGTCCATGATACATGTGATGTGGCAAACAAGTCCTGCGCCTGACACTGAGCTTTAAATGTCAAAGTACTGAGGGGACTGCCACATGCGCCCGTCAATATAAGACGTAAGTTGACAAGTCCCATGTGCCTGTAATTTCACCAACACCCTTACCCTTCCAAATCGAAACGCTGTCGAAGTTGTGGAAGAAAAAGAAAGCGCCACCGTGACTCCGGACTGACGGCATATGGTAAGGGTTCCGTCACTCGCTCAAGGTTACACTATAAGTGCCTACCGCTGACTGCGCCGACATCGGCGCTAGCGCCCATATAAGTCTTTTATTTATGAGCATTCGTCTCCGCACGACTGCACACGGCGGGCAACGTTATTTTCACCTCTCTGAGCGCGTGCTTAGGTTCCGTTTTCCTTGTAGCGACCGCCTGGTGCCATTAGTCAGATTTAGTAGGCTATTGTAGCGTAGGTATTTTCATTAGCGTAGGTAAAAATTGAGAAATGTACAAATGATGAAGAGGCTGATGAAATGAAGACGACATTTAATGAAGGTACGGTACACTTACACTCATAAATAGAAGACTAAATGAAAAAGTTTATAGTTTATTATATAGCCAAGGTACGTCACTCGCTCAAGGTTACGCGATAAGTGCCTACCGCAAGCGTTCAAACATGTCTTTTATTTACGAGCATTCGGTTCCGCACGACTGCACACGGCGGGCAACGTTATTTTCACCTCTCTGAGCGCGTGCTTAGGTTCCGTTTTCCTCGTAGTGACCGCCTGGTGCCTGGTGGTATTTTCGATTTTGTATCAGAGTGACGTATCTGTTACGTAGTAACTATTGAGTAATCAGTGGTATGGTGAACAGTGAGATATGAACTAACCTTTTAACAACTCCCTCCTTTATCTTAACATTGATAGCTTCTCCCACTTCTTTCTCGTTCCCGTAGACGTATGCGCAGTCGATGTGCCGGTAGCCTATGTCGATGGCGTCCTTTACAGCTTGGGTCACTTCACCAGGAGGTGACTGCAACAAAATGTCGGGGAATTCATATACTTTGGTTCTCATAGCAGAAGGAATTTCCTAGATTGAGATCAGGTAGCTGGTGTAGTTGTCTAGCAACTTATTTATTATTATTAGCAGTGATCGGAACAGATAGAGTCCATCTACCTAAACTTCGAGGAACAGAGACAAAAAGTGGAGACTGTCTTGCGACTACTTACATTTTTTTGTCTCGGATTTTTTTGAGAAAAAAAAAATTTAGAACAAGCCACCCTTTCTTACTATAATAAACTGTAAAACTGTTTGTGCAAGTGGGTCCTTAAAAGTTCAAGAGTTGAATGTCGAAAATTGTGGGTGTCGAAATGATTTTTTGTAGTGAAGCCTTGTATCGCGTGTATGTATTACTATTTTTGCCAATAAATGTAAAATATTTCATTTTTTTACCCTGTATTATTACGGTAAATTAACTATACAGTATTGAAAACAGAATTTTAAATGATCTCAAATAAAAGAATGGCAAGAAATAATTTTGACCGCATTTTGAGGTCAAATACCCCACTGTGGGGCGGCAGAAATAGGTAAGGTGGCAGTACTTCCCTGGACGAACCTATCCCAAATAACGTCAATTTTTAATGTACCAAATATTTCCCGAATCCCGAAAATAATCCGGGACAAACAAATGTAATCGTAAGTCAGTCTCCATTTGCTATATCTGCTTATCGAAGTTTAGGTAAACTCTACCTATTCCTTCCGATCAATGATTATTAGTCATTCGACGCATAGCCATTAGCCATTACTTATAAAAGTTTTAACAGTTCCAAGGGCCAGAAATCGATGCGACTTTGTATTCATAAATAATGCTTAACGATCGTGTTGAACGTCAATATTTGTATAACAATTAAATTGTAAAAAACCTTGAAGTCAAAGTCAAATAATCATTTATTCTATAGGTAAAACTTTTACACTTGAAAACGTCATGTTTTAAGCTACTGCTCGTTCACTACGCTGACCTCCCTGAGAAGAACGAGCTAGAAACTCTCGGGATTGCTCTTTTCAAATAAACTTAAATGCTATAGAATACATTTTGAATCATATTTGTGTGGAATCTAGACTCAGGTTGTCTATCCATACATCTTTATCTAACACGTAGTCTACAATTTTGTAATATGACCCTTCAATTAAAATACTTTTAATGTAAGTATTAAACTTAAAAAATGGTAATCTTAAATATGCTATGGAATATTATTGTAAAAGTGTATACAGTTCCCCATAAAATAATCGTTTACCTTAGTTAAACGAAAACGTGATACCATGAGTTTGGACTTAGTTCTAAGGTTAATATTATGGATATCTTCTTTCTTAACGAAATTATGTACATTTTTACGGGCATACAAAATATTTGAGTAAATGTACTGTAATGCCACAGTCGTGATACCAGTCTCCTTAAACTTTTCTCTGAGAAAAATCCGAGAATCTAAACGGTACACAGAACGAATCGCTCATCTCTCGTTAATATAGTTTGTATATCTGCCGCTTTACCCCACATAAGAATCACGTAAGACATTATACTCTATCTGCTGGCCAAAGAAGCTATAGGTATGTGGAAACCATTAGAGTTTACGATCTAAGGTCACTCCCAAAAAGACAGCTTTATTAACAAGGTCAACTTTTCTCCATTTATTTATATTATATTGAATACATATTTGTAACTTTATTATGAAAAAAGAACCGACCTTCATGCTGATTAATGGCGAATATGAATTCTATTTACTAGGCAACAACATTTAAATTTACTTTTACTTACAACATTTACTTGCCTAAATCGGGGGTGACCCAAAAAATTTGGGAACGTATGGTGTATAGCTTGACGTGCTGTTGACTGTGCCATTCTTTCTTCAGATGGTAAAATAATAAGTCTTTGTCCGTCTGTGTGTATATTGTTAAACATCTCAAAAGGATGCCTTGTATAAGATTAACCAATTTGTGATAACATTTTGAACTATGACGTCCTGTTACTTATTATTGTGTGAAAAGCAGAGTGAAATAAACCCCGGGCTGAATAACTCGAAAGTCTGATGCATAAAAATAATCCTCGTATGCCTGTCTCCGACGTTGCAAAACCACAGAGGCAGACGGATCAATGCGACGTGGACGGCTTCACAAAGGTGGTGAAGAGAAAGAGGAAGCCTACCAGCCGTAACCTGTGTGGCACAGCATTGACAGGATCGAACTTTTGCTCCGTTCGGCAACACCGACGACGCTGCTGTACCTGTCGCAATTACATAACTCCACGAGTCTGAGGAAATAGTGGATGACATCAGGCTTAAAACCAAATACACTCTGAGGGTCAAGCGGTTGGAGTCCCGCCGCAACATAAATATTTTAATTCGTTTACGGTGAGAGTGGCGACCGAACATCTGTCGGCCTTAATGAAGGAAGAGCTTTGGCCGAAGGGTGTCATAAATCGGCGATTCCGCGGCCGGTTACCTGACACCAGATTGCGCCACACAAAATCTGTTTTATGTATTACTCTGCACTAAATAAATGACTTTTTTTTCGTCTTTCGGAAAACGAAAAATCTCCTCTCTTTAGCCCGTTTAGATGATGATAAACAGCTGTATCCACACAATTCACAACCATTATAAATAATAACGTAAAATGATGTTATATATTAACGTACGCGTTTCGTAATGAATAAATGAAAACTATATTCAAATAATCAAAGCCGTCTTAGCGCGAAAACGGCTTGCCGACAGCCTTATTGCTGTTCAGTCAATGTGACCGTCAATGTGCGGGGCGTGGTGCAGTATCTAAAGATAGGGAGGGGCGGAGAGTGTCCGTTCTGGTTACTTTTTGTTCTCTCCCCGTAGTCTCTCCGGAAAACTCTATCTCTCGACTCGGTAAATAGGGACTCGGACCGCGATTTGGACAATGGAAATGATCTTTTGTTTCTCCTCAACTCCTGCTGCATACAATTTTTTCAGCAACTGAGTGGTGCATAATTGGAACATGCTACCGGAAGATGTTGTTTCTACTGTCTCTATTAATGCCTTCAAAAACAAGCTCGACAACCGGCGAGTGAGTGAATTAGTGCTAAAAAAGTGAACTAACACAAACAATATAAATTTCAACACTGTGTGATGTAGACATACCAGCGAAAGCTGCTCGTCTATAATCAAATAAATAAATAAATAATTTGTTAGTTACTCAATGCTACTGCAATATTGATAATTTTTTATTTAAAATTTAACTAACGGTTGTTATATTCTTTACTTCCCGTTTTTATAATTTATAATTAAATTCTTATTGTTATTTATGCTATACCATAAATGCATGCTATATCAAAAGTGAAATAAGAAACAAACCAACGTTTTGGTATAGTATAATACAAGTATGGTAACTCCAGAGAAACGTAGCAGCGAGTCTTGCACGTTCGGACACACATTTTCGCATAATCCCGCAGTGCACTCGCTTTGCGTTATTATTATTTTTATAACATCAAGTGACGGGACGAACAAGTCGTACATGCACCTGTAAATTCTGGCTTCCACTAACCGTTTTAAATAGCAAAACATAGAGCACAAAATTCTCTATTAATTACATTTTTATTGAATTGATATTCAATTATTTTTTGTGAAATTTCTTTTCCACTAGTTTGTTATAATTATTAATACAAAGATCGAACACTCAGAAAAAATTCCTTCGATCCGGTCGGATTCGAACCGACGTCTTCTTGCATACCGTGTCAGACGCTATACCAACTAAGCCACGGAACGAACCAACGGACCTCACGAATTTTTCTATGTGCTTGCGTCGTGTCTTTGTACTTGGTCTTTCAACTCTCTCGCCAGGACTGGTAGCTGTAAAGGTACTAACCGGGTGATAAATCTGCAATAGATTTCTCATAGATGGCGCTACGACTAAAAAGTCGTTGAAAGACCAAGTACAAAGACACGACGCAAGCACATAGAAAAATTCGTGAGGTCCGTTGGTTCGTTCCGTGGCTTAGTTGGTATAGCGTCTGGCACGGTGTGCAAGAAGACGTCGGTTCGAATCCGACCGGATCGAAGGAATTTTTTCTGAGTGTTCGATCTTTGTATTAATAATTATAACAAAATTCTCTTTTAAAAACAGATGAAATTAGTAAACGCGTTCGATTTATAGGAACTTACCCTAACGATGCATAGCTGAAATACCATTAAACAATTTCAGTATTCTAAAATGGGTTATGGTTTATTCTTCTCTCTCTTTTTATCATCTCTCTCTATTATTTATTACGCAATATTCACCAGCACCATTACCCTTCGAAACCGGAACACAGTAATGCCAGGTAAGGTGCCAGTACTTCCCTGGACGAACTCTCACAAGCAGCTCTACTGTTAGAAGTTTTTGTTTCACTATAATTTTCAACTTGTGAATGGCAAATTTTGAATATAAACCTGAATTTTTATACAATGCCTCTTCTTAAATGAATTTGTGTGAACGGAAGAAACCCATAACTCTAACTGATAGCATCCATTCATGTAGTCATGTTATGACTTAAATGACAATTGAACAAGCCATATAACTGATATAAATTGATAACATTTAACATTATCATGTGAAGTATATACTAGTGTATTTATCACACAATGTAAATAGCTATATGTTTGTGATTTTGCGTACATATTTTATGGTATCTACAGTACATTTACTCACTTCAATGCATGATAAAGAAAACATGTTATGAATAAACTTGTGACACATTTAAGCATGACACACACAGAGAGCGGGTGCGAGTCGGGTGCGGGTAGGGTGCGGGTCGGGCGCGAGTCGGGACCGCGATGTGTCTAATTCCGTGTATTTATATGGACGAAAAAGAAAAGAAAACTTTAAACCATCACATGGCCACCATCTCAAACTAGTTCGTACCTTCCAAAACTCCTGCTGCATACAATTTTTTCAGCATCAGAGTGGTGCATAATTGGAACATGCTACTGGAAGATGTTGTTTCTACTGTCTCTATTAATGCCTTCAAAAACAAGCTCGACAACCGGCTACGAATGAGTGAATTAGTGCTAAAAAAGTGAACTAACACAAATGATATAAATTTCAACACTGTGTGATGTAGACATACCAGCGAAAGCTGCTCGTCTATAATCAAATAAATAAATAAATAATTTGTTAGTTACTCAATGCTACTGCAATATTGATAATTTTTTATTTAAAATTTAACTAACGGTTGTTATATTCTTTACTTCCCGTTTTTATAATTTATAATTAAATTCTTATTGTTATTTATGCTATACCATAAATGCATGCTATATCAAAAGTGAAATAAGAAATGTGTGTTGGTTATACTATAGATATATCTTTGGATAGTGTATCCAATGGCAGCAAAGAGAAAGGTCTTTAACATCTGCATCCTTTCAATTTTGACCTATGGATGCCAAACGTGGGCATAGACTAGTAAACACCATCAGAAACTCACAACCTGTCAAAGAGGAATGGAGAGAAGTATGCTGGGATTCTCTTTAGGAGGCAAAAACAGTGCTACAGACATACGAAGAACTACTAAATTTGAGGATGTCACTACAAAACGCAAAACACTAAAGTGGAAGTGGACTGGCCAAATGTACAGGGAAAGAGTAGAAAAGTGGACCAGAAAGGTAACAGAATGGTTACCAAGAGGAAATGTCAAGAGACAACACCTTTGACTAAATTGTTCAGCGAATAAATATCTTGTATTCCAATATTTTTGCATTCTTGTCAAGCAGACTATATTTCTGCACAAATTGTTCAATGGTTATCAATCACCGAGCAAATTCAGTGATAGTGGACCATTGAGCAATTTGTAACACAGCGATAAGTCATTTTTTTCATGTCATGATTGTTTATGTTTTAAAATATTATAAAATATATATATAACCGTCATTGTGAATAAAAACAGCCGAAGTATTTTAATAACCGGCAATCTATCTCACCACCGCTACACATGTCTTTCAACCCTGACATTGGCAAAATCGTCGCGCAAAACGACGGAGCCATAGACACAAAAGTTGAAGTTGAAGTTGAATCGACTTCAAAAAATAAGAGGGTACTCAATGCGACTGGATTGTGTGTGTGTGTTACGCTATAACTCCAGTAATTAATTTGTGAACCAATGTTGATGATTCTGTGTTGTTGGAAAGTGGTTCCCATTTCTATTTGAAGAAAACGTTCCACCTCTAAGGGTGGCAAACTAGGGGATGAATCCGGTTTCACGCACTTTCCTTTAACCAATTCTAATAAAACTTGGCAAACGTGTGAAATTGCAATAAAATAGTTTATAAGAAAAGTTTTGAGGTCAGTTTTTTAAAACACCCTATATTTTCTTTTTTGTTATAGTTTATTGGTTCACTTACAATGTAACATACTATAAATTCAATTTGGTGAAGTTCTTATCTAAATTGCACAATTACTTATGAGTGAACACAGCTTGCAAAAACAATGTAAAATGTAAATTACTTATATAGAATTTAAATACAGCAACTTAAATTTAAAAGAACAACGAAAAACTAATACAAACAAAACCAATAAATACAAGTGAACAAGGGTCTCAGACACCATCAAACTAGATGGTGAAAAAAAAAAACATTAGTTAAGGTTCAACATAATACTAATGTGAAATTTGTGAAGCAACTGCCAAAATACATCGCAAACGTGACTGTGCTTATTATATAGTCTGCAGTAGTGATGAAAGAGACTCAAGTCTTTTAAG